TATATATATATATATATATATATATATATATAGTATTAAAAGTAGCCGTTTCGAGACTTACATGGACCGGGTGTTTCAGTGACGAGGACTTCCGGACCCAGGCCACCGCCCTCGCCCTGATTGTTGGACGCAATCTTTGCCTGAACGTAGATGTCGTACTTTACGCCGGCATCTAGACCGGTCAAAGTGATACTCGTTTGATTGGGTAGTAGCTGTTCAGTGCGAATGACAATACCCAGGTGCTTAACCAGAACACGGTACATCTCAACTTTTCCAAGCAGACCTTCCGGTTGCGACCAAGACACCCTTATCCACGAAGGTGCCAAGTATTCCATGTTTGGTTTAGATGGCTCGAATGAACCTAAAAATGAAAGGAAGTGACACATTCGACGCCATTGCTCCATGGAGTATTCACACACCGAAAACGCACAAAGATGACGATCATGAAATCATGAAATCTTGATCACACTTGCAAATACAGAAAATGCTCAGGAATTAAATCTATTTACAACCCGTTTTCGCCTGATATAGTGCTTGGAGGTTTAACCAGAACAGTAGAGAACAAGGTACTCACCTATTGCCTAGTGCATCACTAAGAATCATCTAAATGTAAATCTATGGTAACTTTACAAGGCATTGGGAAATTATTAGGTTTCAGTAGGCATTCTCGGATTGCGCGAAAGTTGTAGGAGGGCAAAACACAGGCCCACCAGTTTCAAGCCTGATGGAGAAAAAGAAATGCGTTTGTAATGTACATTTGATAGCAAACCCACCATTTCATACTAGAACCCTGAAAGACTATTGAAAGTATTGGTCATATCCACACCTCAGTGATAAATTAATAGTGAACGCAGCCCGCCTAGAGGCGCCAAGACAGAAATACAGCATGCCCTATAGAGTCAAAACGGCCTCAAATATAAACAAACAGGCAACAGTAGTTCGCCTAGTGCTCGGCACATACCCCGCGTCCCAGCAAGTTGTTTATAGGGGTTTTGTGGGTGGGGAATTAGGATTGGCAGCGCATATTTTAATAACTGCTATATGCATTTTTATTTTATTGTATTTATAAATGATGTTGATCTATATCT